TGAGCACGAAAATTCTCTATCTCTCTCCCTTCTATTATATTTCTTGAGATCTATGAGGCATACTGTAGTGTGAAAGGTCGTCACAAAGCACCTTCTCCATACTTGAAGATTCAATAAAGCTTGTTCAAGAGGTATTTCAGTCAATCTTCTTCTCTTCCTTTTATTTCTCATCTTTATCTTTTTTTGTTATAATAAACGTCATAATGTAGATATTTTATGGTTAATTGCTTAATTTATATTTTAAATATGTAAATAAATATTAATAAAGGGGATTCAATATTTAATTTATTAATTCTTATCATGTTAACTTCATCATAGGGTACCAATTGAGGGCGCTGTAGGGGTGCTTAATACCTTTCTTACACGTAACCGACCCCCGAACCCAATTATGGTTATCAAGGCCATTGTTGGATCTTTAAAAACCTTTTCTTTTTCCAATGTTTTGAGTAAAATATTGGTGGCGACTCCATGAACCTATTTTCAAAACCATTAATTAAGGATTAGTCTGGTGTCCGAGCATTCCTTAATTAATGAGACTTTTAAAGGGATGTCTAAACCATAGGTCGCGAGATCGGAAATTTGCAGGTTGTGACAGGAGGATCCTAGGAAGTCTCATCTATTGCCAGCAAAGAGAATACTAAGATACTTGAAGGGGAGTCCTTGTTATGGTGTGTTGTTTCCTAGCAAGTTTTCTGAAGGCTTAATTGGATTTTCTGATTTAGATTGGTGTGGCAACAAGGTAGACAGAAAGAACACTATGGGATATGTATTTAAGCTCTATGGAGCACCTATTTCCTGGTGTTCTAAGAAGCAAACAATGTTGACATTGTCTAGTTGTGAGGCAGAGTACATTGCTACATCACATGTAACCTGTCAAGCACTTTGCACAATGGGGTTGTTGTTTAAACTCAAGGAACTACAAGTGGAACTACATGGTCTGATGCAACTCTTGGTTGATAACAAATCAACCATCAACTTAGCGAAGAATCCAGTGGCACATGAAAGGAGCAAGCATATTGAGACAAAGTACCATTTTCTATGCGATCAAGTGAACAAAGGGGAACTTGAGCTAGTGTACTACAAATAAGAATTGCAGAAGCAGATATCATGACAAAACCCATGAAGATTGAGAGATTCAAAGATCTGAGAAGCATGTTGAATGTAGTGTCCTTAGATACATTGAATTAAAGGGGGTGTGTTGTGAGATTAATTCAATTTTGTTGAGTTAGTTAATTCTGTTAAATGGTAGTTAATTCAAAGGTGTTTGATGTACTATAAATTCAAGTACATGATTCAGAGAATAATATAAAGTTTTCATATGTGTGCATATGTGTGCTTTACTCTAACAGACTAGTATCTAAAGCTTAAAAAAATGATCTTGGACCCATGGAGATTGAATTCTTGCATAACAGTGCTAGTGTATCATGGCAACGACAAACGAAAACTTTGTCGAAAACCTCCTATTTATTGATGGGAAGAATTAGGATCGATGGTGTGTACAAATGAAGGTGATCTTTGGATTTCAAGAAGTTCTAGAGATTGTGCAACGTGGGTACGTGGAATTGAGTGAAAACCCCACTAATGCCCAACAAGCCACATATAGGGAGAACAAGAAGAAAGACTGCAAACCTCTATTCTTTTTGCATCAGTGCATTGATCCATTGCACATCGACAAGATAGCCTCAACGGCGTCAGCAAAGGAAGCTTGGGAGATTCTTAAAAAATCTTGCGAAGGTGATAACAAGATCAAAAAAGTAAAGCTTTAGTCCCTCAGAAGATAGTTTGAGTTGCTGCACATGGAGAATCTTAACAAGGTCTTTGATTACTTCTCAAGGGTGTTGAGTTTTATTAATCAGATGAGGACTTATGGTGAAAAGATTACAAACCTGATGGTCATAGAGAAGGTGATGCATACATTATCTCCATAATTTGATTACATAGTGGTTACTATTAAGGAGTCCAAAAATCTTGAGACAATGAAGATTGCAGAAATACAAGGTTCCCTGGAAGCTCATGAACAACGCATGAATAAGAGAAATAATGAAAGGGCACCAGATTAGGCCTTACAAGTTCAAGTCACCAAGAAAGATGGAGCTAACAGAGGAAGAGATAGAAGAGGGATAGGATTTGGAAGAGGATCCAGAAATGGAAGTTACAGAAGTAGTGATTAGAATGGTGTTGATCAAGATCAGGCTAAAACCTCAAGTAGAAGAGGTAGAGGTGGTCATAACTATGGTAAGGGGAGCAATAAGACTTTTGACAAGAGGAGGGTACAGTGCTACAATAGTTTGAAGTATGGTCACTTTGCTGATGAGTGTAGATTCAATAAATCGCACCAGAGAAGGGATGATGATGAAGCTCACATGGCTTAAGATGGTGATTATGATGTTGATCTAATGCTCCTCATGGTGACAAGAACTATTAAGTCAAGCAACATTGAAACTTGGTATCTTGATATTGGGTGTTCCAATCATATGACCAACCATAAAGAATGGCTTGTTGATCTTGATGTAAGCAAGAAAGGAAAAGTTAGATTTGTTGATAATAGAACATTGTCAGTAAAAGGTGTGGGGAATGTGATGATCAGAGGAAGAAATGGAAAGAGTGCCTTTATCTCTAATGTATTGTACGTGCTTGAGATGAAGAACAATATGCTGAGCCTAAGATAATTGCTGGAGAAAGGATTCACAATACTTATGCAGCAACGGTGTATGAAGGTGTTTGATCCCCAATAAAGAGAATCCTGAAGGTTCCTATTTCCAAGAATAGAACCTTTCAGGTTGATATTCATGCTACAGAAGCCAAGTGTTTTACAGCTACAACCATTGAAGATTAGTCTTGGCTATGACATTTTCAACTTGGACACTTAAACTTCAGAAGCCTGAGTATGTTGAGTTTTAAAGACATGGTGACTGGATTGCATGCGATTAGTGTGCAAGACAAGATGTGTAAAGACTGCATGCTTGTGAAACAATAAAGGAATTCATTCACATCCCATATTCCAATAAGAGCCACTAGTGTACTAGGAGTAGTCCATTCTGATGTCTGTGGACCTTTTGAGGTTCCATCTTTGGGAGGGAACAAATACTTTGTCTCCTTTGTGGATGAATTTAGTAGAATGATGTGGATCTTTCTCACTTATATATTACTCAACATGCCCAACTCTAACCAATGTGGGACTTCACTTCACACTTGAACTCCAACACTCTCCCTCAAGTATAAACCCCTTCCATATGGTCACACTCCCCCTCAAGGAGAAGCCTTTCTTTTGTCTACGAGTATTCAATGGTGGCCTTACTTGCACTGTCGTTGCACTTCAACGGTAGAAAGACTTTTAGTACAAAGGGATGATCCCACTCTTGGATCTCCTGTCAATTCCATTCAAGATCCTTCTCTTGGATCCATCTATGGCCAATTCTAATGGCCAATACTCGTTTGAGCCGGTCACTAGTCACTTGATTGAACCATCGGCTTTGATACCTACTGTTGGGGAGTTTTTACAATAGGGAACACTCCACACAATGGGTAGTGAGTAAGTCACACAAGTGAGCTTGAGGGGGAGTGTGACCATGTGGAAAGGGTTCACACTTGAGGGGGAGTGTTGGAGTTCAAGTGTGAAGTGAAGTCCCACATTGATTAGAGTTGGACATGTTGAGTAATATATAAGTGAGAAAGACCCACCTACCTAATGCCTTAAAGCACTAGGTTATGTTGTGGTGTTAAGCACACTTGTATGACTTACTCACTACTCATTGTGTAGAGTGCTCCTTATTGTAAAAATTCCCCAACATTGTGTAGGCAAAGTCTTTGAAAAAGACCTATAATAAATAAAAAAGATAACTAAAATCACATATTTTTAACTAAATTCAAACCTAGAACTAACAAAGCATAATGAATTTCCACCCATAAATCTTATCTATCTATTTGAAGAACTTTTATGTTTGTATTTGAGTTCAATCATAAAAATTATATTAAATTTATTTTATGTAAACATTTACATATTTAAACACAAGTTACAAAATAAATTTTAAATGTATTTTGAGTTGAACTAACTTTAGATAAATTTTGATTTGATTTATTAATTTTATTCTAACTTTTACTACAAACTTATTTTTTAAATTAAAAACATTCAAATATAAATCATTTTACTTAAAAATTATTTCTACCATAACATTACAAAACTAAAGTGTAGTATTTGATTTCTATTAAAATTTTTGTTTTAGTTTTTTTGCGCCCACATCAAGTTTTTGTCTAAATACATCTAACACCACCTCGTGTGACGGCCCAAACCCTTAAGCTCAAACTACAAAACAGGAGAAGGAGATTAAAAAAAAAAAAACACTTCACAATCGTTTGTTTTTGCTTTTTTAAAACATTAATTTTAAAAATAATTTTGAAAGTTTAATAAATTTTTTATGAGAAATCAATTGAATAAATATCTATTTTAGTCCCATAATTTACGAGGCAATGTCGTAGTAGTATCTAAAATAATAAAAAAAAATCTTAAAATTAAAATTTGTTAATTACCTTAATGACAGTAATTTAAAAATTAAAAATTTATTTATTATTTTCTAATTTCAGATGCTATTAATACATGACCTCACAAATTTATGAAATAAAATAATGATTCACTCAAAATTATTTACCAACAAGTTGTGATAAGGTTGTTAGATAATTTTATTTTTTAAAATGTGATTAGATATTCAATATCTGATTAGTGTATATAGAAAACATTTGTTTAAAAAGGTTCCCAATGAATCTTAGTAACCTAAACCCTAGGTTTAAGATATACCTAAATCCTAATTTCAATGAATCTCAGTACCCTATAAGATGGTATTGGTTGGCTTAGAGATGCCTTGGTTTTTTTATTTTTAAAAATAACATTTTTTTTTAATTTTTTAATTTTTTAAATAAGAAGGAATTTAAACAATTTGTTAAAAATCAACCCAAGACAATACATACTAAGATGGTCATAAATGGGCCCATAATGGTTTAGGTTCAATTATTCTGTTCTGTCCCAAGTCCCAACAACTGCGTTCTGTTCTGTTCTGTGTGCTTTCAACAACAAACCAAATCCAAGAGCTCAAACTCAAACCATTTCCCTCACTCTCCCTTTGCTTTCCCAATCTCATCTCATTGTACTCTTTCTGACCCAACATGCAAATCGCAACTCTCACTATTCTTCTCTTCTTGGTTTGAGTCTAAGGAAAGCCACACACACCCCCACCAGTTCAAGGTTTTACCTTTCCTTCTCTCACTCGGGTACACGTTTTTCTGGCACTTTTGTTTTTTCCACTTTTCGCTTTCATCGTGCATTAGACCTAAGTATACCCTTAAATTATAGTGGGGGTGATGAAAAAGTATGCAGGGTAATAAGGGTTGGTTTCATTTAAAAGTAACAATAAAAAAGATTCTAAATTTCTAAGTGCAAAATGATTGTTCTGTGTTGAGGATGGTTTAATTGCACTTTGAGCATGTGTTAGTTGGGTGAAACCAGGACACTTTGAAGTTTGTGGCGTAATCTGAGTGCCAATTGATGAGTTTTGTAGCGATTTGGCTTGTGAACTTACGTGAAAGATGAGCATGAATTTGTGGAGTGTGTGCTTAGTTTTACTGATGGGTTAATGGATATAACTTGAGATGGGTGGGATACTAATGTTAAGAAGTCCTGTGTAATGTATTGCACGAGTATTATTGGTGGTTGAGATAATGTTATGAGTGGTTGATGGGATAATTTGATGTGTTTGTGTTGAGATCTTTTTGAATGAGATCTCTGAGCTTGTTGTACTTTTTGTCATAATACATATATGGTGATGAATATGAATGTACAGCATATGTGACTCTTTTGGGATGCTTGTGCCTTCAAAACTTGCTGAATGAAACTACTGCGAATCTCTCTTGTTTGCTTGATCTCAAACTGTTGGGACATCATATCATGAATTGACATGATTTTGGTTTTTTTTATCAAGTTAGTGTTGCTTTTGGCTTTTTCACCTAGTTGTTCTCTACATAAAAATATTGGTAATACAAAATGTTGATATGTTTTCTCTTTAAAGTACCAGATGGATTTGCTTTGTGTGTTTTGGGACTGTTGTGACAAGAGACAATTACGAAGTGTGATGAATGCAGCCCTTTTTGAAACACTGTAGTGTTGTTTTCTGTTACCGTTTGTTTCTGAGGTTAAATTCTTTTAGATACTGCGATAAAATTGATTTTTTGTTGAAGGCTGATCTATGTCAGTCATTCTGATTTCATTGAGCCATCTATTGATACAGGTGTGAAAGGTGAAAATAAAGTGTGGATATCAGGACTTGTTTATTTTTTTCGAAGGCAATTCACTATGTTTGATTATTCTTGTGCATGGGCTAATACCAAGGTTCTATATCAACACATAAAAGATTATGGCCTACTGCTTTTTGGCATTCTAATCTATGCCATCTGACATGATTTCTCTACTTGTTTGAGCTCATTTGTAATTAAAAGAATCCACTCATCAAGTTACACTCTCCCTCCCTTGTGGGAAGACACAAGCAACTATGCACAACACATATGTTAGCTCAACAATATATGCTGTTAGGTGTCAAGATTCATTCTCATTATCTTTTAATGGCTACTCAAACTTCTGTTATGAAAGATTTGACAGAACCCCATCATACTGTTTGTCATGCTGTGGTTGTTGTGATTGTTGTTCTGTCTCCACTTACAGAGTACCCATAAAGCCTTGTCTTATAAGTGGTTTGAGGCAATCTTCTCTTCTTCAATTGTCAGCTTCTAGAAGGTTGATATTGGGTGGTGGAGATCCTTACTTTTCCCAGATACCAGCTTATGGTTTCCTCCGAGGTTGTGATGAGCTTAATTCTTCTGTCAATGAGAGAACTGTTTGCAATAATAGTAGACAGAGAATAAGGGGAAGATGTATTCGTGCTGCCTCTAAAAAAGGGAGAGAATTTTCACATCCATTTGGTTCTGATGATGCTGAAGCAATTCTCAGCTTGTTGAGTGAAGAATCAGATAAGGATGTTATTTGTAGCAAATGTAAGGATGTGTCTTCATCCAAAATAATGGATGCTGAGAAGAAAAGAAAAAATGTGAGCAGTGAGAGACATTTGAGTTTGAACGAGAAAGTAGAAACAGAGAAAAAAGGTAATTTTAAGCAACATGGATCATCCACCATAGACTTGAGAAGAGAGTATAAAAAACTCAACAAAGAAAGGGAAGCCTTTGTAAAAGGTGAAAATCATAGGAAACAAAGAGATGTGTCTAGTTGTTCATCTTATTATTCTCTCTCATCGGGAGATTTTGGGAATGAGCTGGAAGTTCAGGATGAGATTGGTTTGGAAGAGTCATCACTGGAACATGAGAAGGATGAAGCAAATCGTGTGGAGGAAGAATTCAACAGTGAAGGGGATGACAAAAAGAAGCTGCAAGATGTTTCTTATAATGAAAGAATTGCATTTGGTGTGGATATTGATTGGAACCTAAGGAAGAAGTCTGAAAAGAAGCTGACCGAGGGAACTGTGCAAAACACACAATTTATAAGAGAACAACAGGATATGCATTCAAGAAAATTTAAAACACATGAATCTGGTCATAAAAAATCATCCATGTCACAAAAGCTAGTCAATAATGAGGAAGATAAATCATCTTTTGTTGGCAATTTGGATATGAAAACAAACAAGTCATATATTCAAACAGTAAACAGAAGAAAACAGCAATCTAAAGATGTGCAAGAGACTGGTTGTGATGAAATTGAGACAACTTTGTTACCACAAAAAGAATTCAGTGGCAGGGAAGGGAAGCTTGGGATGTCAGAAAAACTGTTGAAGGAAACAACTGATGAACATAACAAAATTGTTGGTTCATCTTCGACCACAGGAAAGGAAATTTTGAAATCGAAGAAGGCATTCAGTGGAAGGGAAGGGAACCTCGCGATATCAGAAACACTTTTACAAGAAACAAATGATAAACACAAAAAATTTGTTGGTTCTACTTCTACTTCCGGAAAGGATGTGGTGGATAGAAGTTCCCAGAAATATACCGGAAATTTAAAAATTGAAGACACTGAAAGGACCTCAAGTACTCGAATACAGGACATAGGAGTGAAAAAAGCTTCAGTTTTGAGTACTGTTCAGGGAGTGGAGGAGCAGCAACACCAGAAAGGAGAGAAGATTATTATACAGGCTAAGGATAAAGAGAGAAGAGAAAAATCTCAACAATTTTCTGAAGCATCTCAAGCTCATGGGATTAATGTTGAAGATACGTCTATTATAAATTCTTTAACTAGATTAAAGAACTGGGAAGAAAAATCAAACATAAGCTCAGATGTATGGGGTACATGGCTTCAAACTGATAAAAGGACAAATCAGAGTTTCCAGCACAGGAAAGGATCTGAACATGCCAGCACTTTATCAGAAGGCTACGCCAGTGATGAAAAGCAAGTTTCAAGTTCTCAAAAAATTTATGAAAAGGTGAGATTCATTCCAAAAAGTAAATCATCAGTTGTTAGAACTAGAGAAAGTTCTAGCCAAACTGATGAAAGGATTGCAAATTTTAAATTGGCCGAAGAGGACCAAAGATCTAGCAACCTATCAATTTCTGATGAAACTGCCACAAGAGAGGAATCCAGCTCTCAGGGATCATTGAATTTGGTTTCTGGGGCTGGAAAACGTGTTATATTAGAAGCAGGTGAAGAAAGGAGCTTTGCAACAATGTTAGTCCCTTCCCCTTCTCAAATGGGTGGAGGCTCAGCACATGATGAACTCACTGCTGGAATCTCAAGCCCCAAGATCTTCCTTGGAACTTCAGAAAGTGGCTCTTCTGCTTTGTATGACAATTCAGGAAGAAGCTCTGCTGTGCATCCAGATTCTCTTGGTTCAGCTGATCGTTTAGAGAAATCATCTAGACAGTTTGTTGATGAGTTTGTTGAGAAGGTCAGGCACGAAGTAACAACTTCAGAAGAACAAGAGATGGAAGTTACAGGAACAAAGTTGACATTTGAAGTTGGTGGTAATCAGGTCTACAGCACAAGGACTCAAGGCACACAAAATGAAACCCAGTCAAAGGAGCATGATTCTAGTCGTTCCTCTGGGTTTCCTGGGACCAAAGGACCTTCTGATGAGATGTGGGACGTTACGGAACCATCTGTTGACCAAAGTCAAGTAGCCAAAGAAACAGAGATCAGCAAGGAAACTGGGAAATCAATTGTTACTAGAACTGGGAGGTCCTTATGGGGTATGATTGCTGATCTTGTTCGATTAAGATGGAGTTTGCGTGCTGGTTCCTCCACTTCAGCTGTAAGATCAGCTGAGAGAAACTCACCAAACAAGTCTGATAGTGACACATGGTTTTCTGGGCAGGAGCACGAGGAAGCCACTAAAACTAATGTCGCAAAAGAAACAAATGTACTACCACAAGCCATGACTTCTGATAAGTCAAAACGAGGTAAACATTATACCCAAAGTGAGGGAGAGGTGTCTGACAATACAAAATTGAAGGACGAAGGAAAGCATCTTGAAGTTGGATCGTCATCTCCAAATACATTGGAGAGTGGATCAACATCAGTTGGTGCCTCGTATATTTCTGTAGAGGAAAATGCTAGTTGGACTGAAGATAAGAAAGATTTGAAAGCCACCACTTCTGGCACACAAAACATGGAATTACCAATTTCAGTACCTGCCATGGGGCCTCCTATTGTAGGAGAAATTGTAAACATTGGTGGATCTGACATGTCTGGAACTGAGTCAGCAATGCCAATCAAGGCACCTGTTGCTCTAGTGCAGTCTGAATTGTCTGGCTTAGAGAGAAAGGATGGAGAGTTGAAGCAAAGGAAGTTTCAACGGAACAAACAAGTCTTGAAAGATAGGTTTGATGAGTGGGAAGAAGCCTATAAACGTGAATTTGAGCAGCGAAGAATAGATGAAATGTTCATGAAGGAAGCACTTTTGGAAGCCAAGAAGGCCGCTGATACATGGGAGGTCCCTGTTGGTGCTGTTCTTGTGCAGCATGGGAAAATTATTGCTCGAGGATGCAACTTGTAAGTGTTGTGATATTATTTCATTCTTTGTAATAGCCTTAGTTTTTAATTATACCAAAATATGTGTTTCAGAGTAGAGGAGTTACGGGACTCCACTGCCCATGCAGAGATGATTTGTATACGAGAAGCTTCAAACCTTCTTCGGACATGGAGACTATCTGTAAGTTTTCGTAGATGGAAATTTAAAATTATTTTGATATTACAACTGAAGTTTAATGCTCATTTTAATGTTTCTCTTATATTATTTTTAAGCTCATATGACTAACTTAACATGTGACAATACTTTTCTGTTAAAGACATCTATAGCGCCAGATATAAGATTTATTTTTACAGAACAAGCAAGTTGGTGTTGCACATATATTTTTAAATTCAAAAAAGGTTTATAAATAAAAAAAATTAAATAGTAGTTGTTTTCATTATTAAAAATAAATATTTTATTATGTTAAATAAAGAAGAAATTAGATAGATGAGTTTTTTAAAAATGAGGAGGAAATTATGGAAATAAATTATTTGAATCAAGACACATCATCTCTATTATCAAAATTTATGAAAACAAGTTCAAATTAATCAGGAATTCAGGATTAATTCAGAATACGTTAATCTTAAAATTCAGTTTTATTTTAAAATGGGAGATATCTTTAATTAGATAGTGTATCAAGATTTAAAATTGAAGTCAAATTGAAATTAAATTTAAGTAATAATAGTATTTGAAAGGAATATAAATTATATTAATCTTAAATGCTGAATACAAAAGAAGTCACGTGGATTAATAACAAAAATAGTAGTTCCTAAACCCTAAACACATGTTCAGGAGTGAGAACTTAGATTTATGATATATGGGTGGATGGGTGGATTTCTGGTAATCCCTTTCACACGTTTTAAAGGAACCAAAAGCATGTCATCTAATTTATAGGTATGAATGATAAGATAGAATACCACTAAAATGCCGAGAAGACACTTGTGTAGGGAGCATTTAGGTTTATGTGGTAATAATTTCTATTTGAGGAATTCTTAATAATGGTTTAATAGCTGTATTGGAATGGACAGGTTATCTGTCTTTGGTCCACTCTTTTAACATTAGACAAGTCTATTAATGGTCGTTAAGTAGTTTGGTTTAAAAAGGTTGTCTTTCTTTTGGATGCACCCTTTTTAGAACTTTTGTTCTCTCTGTGATTTCTGTTTGGGGATCATGTTAATCTCTAGATGGCACCCAACCCAACCCCAAATTTCAGCCCCTTGTGTCTGATATCCTAAACCATTTACCCATCTCACACTTCCTGATTTTCCTTTGCCATAACTCATACTTGCAATACCTGATCTGTCTACTTAGATTTCGACAACTTGAGCACTTTAGTTGATCTTTTAAAAGCCTTGAATATATATATATATATATATATATATATATATATGTGTGTGTGTGTGTATATATTGTATTTTATGATGACACTTCCCTGAGTAAGCATGTTAAGACAGATTTTTGTTGAATGATGTGCACCAGATATAAACCTGTATTTTAGGACACGAGAGATCTATCAAAAAAATTAAATATCATCTTTCAACTGGGAAATTTGAGGTTTTTATGGAAGTCATGAATGCCTATGATTAAATATCATTAGACATGTAGTTCCCCTTATCCTTCATTATATTTATCACTGATTAAACTATTGACCGTTTTTAATTTTACTTAAGAATAGTTGGTAGCTATGCAGTTTTTTGATGTGGTCTTATCAATTCAAGAGCAGAGTTTATTTGCATATATGCAGTGGTTGATATCATTATCGAAACAAATCCAACTTAAAAAGAATATATTACCAAGATAGGTTCATGTTTAAAGGTGAAATTACTGAAAGAAAATAACATTAGGATCAGAGTACTTTTTAATCTGTTGTGGCCCTACTATGATTGACAATATTAAAAACCATGTTGGCCTGTTTTATTAATTTTTATTTATTATAAAAGAAATTTGTTAATAAAAAATTAAAAATGAGAAATACAAATATTGGAGGATAATATATCCTCTGTAAGAAAACATAAAAAGGATTTTATTTATTTATTTTTTTTTTTTTATACAAAGAACCAGAAAAGCTCAAGAAAATCAGTTCACAATAGTAGGCCAACCTATATGGAAGTATGAAATGGTACCCCCCTTAAAAGAGCTTGTAAGCCAAACACCAAATAGAAGCCAAAATTAGATTGCTTTATAATAATATTATTATTTAATTTAATCAATATTAACAAAATAATGTTACTAAAAATAATGCTTCTGCAAAAAGGAGAGAATTTCATTTTCACTATAATTGCATGTTTAATCACCCAATATTTAGTACATGGGAAATAGAGTGAAATGAAAGTGAATGATTTTGTATTTGTACTTCCCTGTGGTCCTGGTAGATGAATCATTTTTCTCCTTTCAATTCTTTCTTACCAAACATTTCTTGAAGGATCACTTAGTAATTTGGTCTTTCTTGAGAAATGATTAATACTTTTAGTTCTGGTATTTGATACAAGTTGATAATTAGTTTGATGAAGGACAAAAATTTTCCACTTTCAGGATACTACACTTTATGTAACGCTTGAGCCATGTCCAATGTGTGCTGGTGCAATCCTTCAAGCAAGAATAGATACTCTTGTGTGGGGTGCTCCCAATAAGCTTCTTGGAGCAGATGGAAGCTGGATTAGGTATACATCCAATGTGTTTCATTTATGCCTTATCATTATATTATTACAAGGGAGTCTTTTTGGTTTACCAATGTTCATGAATCTTTACCTGCATTTTTGCCAGAATTGGTCTCTACTTGCCTTTTTTTCCCTTTACATTTATCTTCGATTAAATGGGTAGTGCCATAAAAAACTGTATTGAAAAAGAGGGATTGTTCACATGTGTATTACAATATATTATTATAATAAGAAAAGGACTACAGAACCCCCAACCATAATTCATATCAAACATATGGTATTTGACCACAATATGGTCAGTGGTCACCATTATTATTATTATTATTATTTTTTATCAAATCCATTTTTTTTTTAATTTTTTTTTACCAAGACATCATTAGCCTTGGAAACACGATTTTTACTTATGTTATATAAATGTCATTTTTATATAGTACTCCATTGTCCACATATTTTTACTAGAAATTTACTCCGAATTTACTTTTACAGAACCTTAATGAGTTGTATTTTTCAAATGTACCGGGATTACAACTTAAGTAAGGCAGGGGTTTCCAGTTGTTTTCCTAACAGAATTTGAGGCCTCTTTTGGAATTTTTTTTGAAAGCTAAACTCATCAAATGTTCTTGAAAGCTCGGTATATCAAAATATTACATCTCTTTCGTGAACCTTTTTTGCAGGCTTTTCCCTGATGGTGGAGAAAATGTATCAGAACCAAAAGATATACCACCTGCCCCAGTTCATCCATTCCATCCGAAGATGAAAATAAGAAGAGGGGTCTTGGCAACAGAGTGTGCAGATGCAATGCAGCAATTCTTTCAGCTAAGAAGGAAAAAGAAGAAAGAGGAACCACCAAAGGAACCTTCTTGCCTTCCTGTTACTCACCACCACCCCTCCAAGTTTCTTAACAAGATGCATGACATCTTCCACATAATGTTTTGTTTGTAACATAGAAGATTCACATGTTTTAAATGAGCATCTAAATAAAACTTTCAAACATGGTTACCGTGAAAATTACAGTTCAATTTCTCTAGAGTATTCAATCATCTAAGCTGTCATGGACAATAAGATTTCAGACGTTGCCAAGCCACTGTTGCCAACTTTAATTTAAAGTAATGACTTCAAACGATTAGGATGATGACAAGAATGTAATGATATATTTGAGCCTGTCTGTCATTGTTCCTTTTCATTTATTTGTAAAGGGTGATTGGGTGAGAATTTGATATCACTTGCAAGAAACAGAAACCTAGAGTATGTACAACGATTGAACTGCTGATAAAACATCAAATCACATTGGTAAGTTGAACCATCAAGTATTAACAGAAAGTGATAGTGACCTCGTACTTACATATAGGCAATGTATAGAAAATAGTTGGTGAAATTATGTTCTCATTAACATGAAACCGTTCTATTCATTATTTTCCTCATTGCCCCATACGCCATCCACCCAACCTTTTGTCCTGGTAAATTAAAAAATAATTAAGTCTGCTTACAACACAAGTTAGGCCATAACCATAATAAGGACATTGAATGTGTGAGAAGCTTTGATAAAAGTCTAAATGACTAGCACTTGTGATTTCGGGGGTCCCCCATGATGCAAGGTAAGCTAAATCTTACCTCTACTTTTTCTATTGTTAATGGTCTTTGTTAGATGATTAATATTTAAATATGTCACAATCACATGAAGGCTACATCCTTCCTTCCATAGATAGTCCACACCATACGTTTTAACTTTCTGCTCCAACACAACTCATATAAGAAGCAAACTTGCCATTCTAAATCAGATCACAACATTCAACATCCAATGGCTGCAGTGTTCTGGGCATTGGCTTTAGTAACCCTCTGCTTCCAGCTACCTTCCAATGCCCAAGGACCAGCAGCCGCGCCGGCAAAGTTGCCGCCTACAACCCCAGCTGCAACACCCCCATCTTCTGGCACACCACCTGTGGTAACACAACCGCCAACAGTGGCGGCATCCCCTCCCACCCCCACAACTACACCACCAACTACTTCCCAACCACCTGCAAATGTAGCTCCCAAACCTGCTCCTGTGACACCACCAGCTCCCAAAGTTGCACCAGCTTCAAGCCCAAAAGCCCCACCACCCCAAATTCCACCACCACAGCCACCAAAAACTTCACCAGTCTCAGCTCCCACATCGCCTCCCCCGCTACCACCACCACCTGTTGCTTCACCACCACCATTACCACCACCAAAGGCAGCCCCAACCCCAGCCCAAACACCTCCAACTCCTGCACCAGTAAAGGCTGCACCAGCACCAGCACCTACAAAGCCAGCACCAACACCATCTCCTATTCCTTCACCACCAACACAGGCACCAGCACCAGTAGTAGAGGTACCAGCACCAGCACCTTCATCCCATAAGCACAGAAGGCACAGGCACAGGCACAGAAGACATCAAGCACCAGCTCCAGCACCAACAGTTATTCGCAAAAGTCCCCCAGCACCACCTGATGCCACAGCAGAATCAGACACAACACCAGCACCATCACCAAGTCTGAATTTGGTAATATCTTTGTCTAGTGAATTTGATAAATTATACAGTCTATTTGAATACAAGCTTAATAGAACAGAGTTTCTATCGAAAATAAAGAATTTTATTTTAGTAAGAAAACTCTCAAAATACTTATGCCTCATATCCAAAATGCTTGTACTAATATAAGCCAAATTTACCAATATGGCTCATCAGTATCACATTGTTTTTGATCATGTATTTTTGTCTTCCCTCCTTTCACAGAATGCTGCTCCACCAAGCCACCAGCAAGGGAGAAATATATGGGCAACAGCTGGACTTGCTATTGCTGTTTTGCTTGCAGTCAGTGGCTACAGCTGCTAGCAGTCTCATGGCGACCCTGGATTCGCTTTGATGAGTTATTTGGTTTGCAAAATATAAAATCATTTAATGTGTATAGATCTGAATAATGGGAATCTATACCTATGATTCTTTCCTTTTTTTGTTGTGTTCTTTTGCTCAGAAATATTAATGGATATGAATTTTTGAATTGTGGAAATAACCAGGAAATGTCACACATAATGTCTAGTTTTGTAAGTTATTGTTACATCAAACTTGATCAATTTCTGCGTCAACGTCTATTTTCTCCCGAAATTTGTACTCCATGATGAGTCCAAGATTGTCAACTAATATGTGATGGCGTTAGACATCCAGCACACTAGTAAGATGAAATTCCAATTACTTGCATACAATAAGTGTTAGCATAATATTAATTTTACAAAATATGTCTATAAATAATAAAGAAAAGCACGAGAAAATAATTGGCCATCATCGATAAGGATTCCGAAAACAAAAGATACATTGCAACACTATATTAAAGGTAACCACTAACCACAAAACTGCCCGAAGACCATGAGCACAAATTAACGTTTTGCTTTTATTGAAAAACACGCATTAACTTTTAAATCATTTGCATACATCTTTCAGATCAAGTTGACACGTAGCAACGCAATCACTCACTTCGTTTGTATGATAAGCACCAAACTCAAATCTTTGGAGAGGATAGATGGCGTTAAGAGTGAAGTGGTGGGTTTTGGCTTGTGGGTTCTACACTTTGGGCTATAAAATAAAATCTTGGATCTCTTTTTACCCTAGTCTTTATTTCATAGCTCAAGTCTAACCTACAAGATTCATCGATAGACTTTATTTTAAATAATTCCTCCATTCGAAAATTTTGATTGAGTTAATTATATTTTCTTATCACTACTTCTTTTTTGAAATTTTTTATTAAGTCAATTATATCTTCATATTGCTCTGTTTTTTTTTTGTCATTCCATGTTAAGGTTATTTTTTTAATGAGAATTTTCTACATATCCATACTTTCTTCTTCTACTACTTCTCAAACAAAGATGTATTACATACTTATATTCTTTATTCTGGAATGTTGCTAAGAGAATCCTTAAATATTATATATCAAAGAAATCTTAAGTGTTGCACCATGTTTTAAAAATTATAATTTGTTATCAGAGACTATGTCAATTCAATTTTTGTAGGTGATCTTGATAAAAAGAAAGTCTATTACATCCTACAAACTATGTATTTACACTTGTAGGAGGAAACAATAAGCTAATCGTTGTGGAATACATGACAACTAGCATGCAAAGAGACAATTTGGACTCAAAGGCTAATGAAAAACTTTGACACAAATAACATAAGACTATCATGTATTGTGACACTCAAAGTACTTCACAAGGAATCCAAACTATTAGAGAGAAATTGTATTTCACTTAGTAAACTTTTTTTCTCGATTGTCATTTTATTTCTCTTTTCTCATCTCTTATTTTAGTTGCGACTTATTATTATTTTGTTAGATTGGTATCCAATAGATGTATGAGAATTTCCTTTTCTTTTTCTTGTAGTGAACAAAAGTTGGTGTTCTATTTTAATATTTTAGAAGAAAGTTGAATATGCATTGTCAATTATAAATGTAAAAAGTTTTTGTATTGTTATCGAATTATAATTTGTAATGTAGAATAAGTTTATCGATTTTTATATCAATCAATATAAAAATTATACTCACAGTGATTTCTAATTGGTTGATAATGTAAATTCTTTTTTACTGTAACATCATATAAAAGTTAAACTCATTTTTTTTTATAATAAAGATACGATACACATTAATATGCTACATCTATACTATTAATAAATATGATATCTTTTTATTGTCCACTATTTACCGATTTTGTCTTTATATCACTTGTAAATCACTTTATTTTTATTTTTATTTTTTCTTTGTAACTAAATATTTCACACTCTTTAAGTAACCGTCCACTATTATATTATCTTTTTTGTATTTAAATATGAAATAGAGACACAAATTGTCTTTTTTTCCCATTACATGTAACAAAGATTATATATGGAAAATTGGCATTTGGTGAAATATTGATATACCAATAAATATGATTTTAATTTAACATCAAAGTATGGATGACACAATAACTTGAAATTGAATATGATTCTCTTCATGTTTTATATCATTTCATACCAATTTGTGTTGAAGATAGAATAGACAAGTTATAATCCTACTTAAAATTCTCAAAAAAATTGATACTTGACTTTAAACTTGTATTATGGTCCTACCTTACCTTAATCAAAACTTTTCATCAAAATAAATATAAACACCATGGTTGGTCTGAAACATTTGACCCACTGTTTTTTTTTTTCCCCTTCAATTAAACATTGATAAGTTGGAAAAGTCAATTTCGATAAAAATGTACCCTCTTATATCATCACCAAAAACAGTCAAAATACTAAATCATTAGCAAATGTCAGGAAAATGAAACTCTAACTTAAGCAAACAGCTTACCAAGTTATAAGCAATCATTAATAACTTGGAGCAACCCTTAACCACATGATAACTTTGGCAGGATCATGACAATTGCATGTGACTTGACTGAGGATAAGGTGACAACAATAAAATATTGTTATAAAAAAAGAAAAAAAAAAAGAGTTGTAACCCCGCAGTCAGGCTCCAAGGGTAAGGCTAGTAAAATTCAAGATATAAGTTCATCAAAGAAAATATATTCTCTATTAGGTTTGAGTAAATTACATTGATATTTCTTGTAGTTTTGTGATATTGTGCACACACCCCTTACTTTTTTAAAGTTGGCAGTGAAGGGATAATTAATGCAATATCTTAAATGTGTCAGGGTAATTTTTTCAACAATAAGGGAAGGTTAGTATAGAGATAAACAAAGTAAAAAATTTGTATGCAATTTCATGAAATTTCAACAAACATTTACTATAGTTTTTATAAAGCAAAGGAAAGTCATATATATTGGTTAAAAAAATCCGACATAACTCTTTCATTTGAAATAAAGAAGTGTATCAATTTTTCTTCAAGTCTTGCTATCCTATAGACCAGCCCTGGCTACAAGGCAACTATTGCAAATTTTCATTTTCCATATAAAACATTATAATACGGTTCAGTTTAGCCAACCTTGTTCTTTTCAAGTTTTGGACCCTATTATTAGGTAGTAGTAGCACACTTACGAAATTGAACCAACAACGGTTGGGTAGGAAGCCAAGAGCTTTCCTTCGGAGGAAGCACTAGAGAGTTAATAATACCACTGTAAACAGCTGCAAGATTTGTTGTTTCGTTGAACCACCTCTTGTATAAATAGCTTCGAAAAATTAATGCTTGATTAGTTGGTTTAAATAGTTAATTGCTCAGTCTTCATCTACTTGTGTCATGAAGTTACAACTCAACACTTCAATCATAGGCATTCGCGTTTAGGAATTTAATTAAAACAGAGTAAAGATTTTCACATTGTATCCAATTAGCTAGTGAAATTATGCTTTCAATAACTTGAAACCTTTTATTCCTTTTTTCCCTCCTCGCCCAATCCTACACCCACCCAACTTTCTTTCTCTTATTAAACATGAAAATTAAGTCTGCTTAAAACACAAGTCAGGCCATAACCATAATATGAAATTTGAATGTGAGGCTGTGATAAAGGTCTAAATGACTAGGACTTGTGATTTCAGGGTCCCCAATGATGCAAGGGAAGCATACTCGTGCCTCTAAACCATTTCCATTGTTAATGTTTCTTGTTAGATGATTAATATTTAAATTATGTCACGATCACATGAAGACTACATCCTTCCTTCCATAGATAGTCCACGCCATACGTTTCAACCTTGAACCTCACCAAAGCCCATAAATAAGAAGCAAACTCTCTCCATTCTCAACCAGATCACAATATTCAACATACAATGGCTGCAGTGTTCTGGGCATTGGCTTTAGTAACCCCAGCCACATTCCAATGCCCAAAGACCAGCAACCGCACCGGCAATTTTGCCACCAAGCACCCCAGCTGCAACACCCCCATCTTCTGGCACACCACCGGCAGCAACACAACCACCCACAGTGGCGGCATCCCCTCCCACCACCACTAGTACTGCTCCTGTGACGCCACCAGCCCCCAGAGTTACACCAGCTTCAAGCCCAAAAGCCCCACCACCACAGCCACCAAAAACATCACCAGTCTCAGCTCCCACATCACCACCACCACCTGTTGCTTCACCACCACCATTACCACCACCAAAGATAGCCCCAACACCAGCCAAAACACCCCCAGCCCCTGCACCAGCAAAGGCAACACCAGCACCGGCACCTACAAAGCCAGCACCAACACCATCGCCAGTTCCTTCACCGCCAACAGAAGCACCAGCACCAGTGAAAGAGGTACCAGCACCGGCACCAGTGATAGAGGTACCAGCCCCAGCACCTGCATCCAATAAGCATAGAAAATAACATTGGTTGGACGATATAAATTTGACTAAAATTGCATCAAAATTAATATCAGCTAAAAGGGTTGGACGATATATCTCTCTGAACCAAAAATATAAGAATAACATTGATTTAAAGAATTATTCATAAGAATGATGAGATGTTTTGTATATAATTCGAATGAAAGCGTACACAATTTTTGTATTTATCAACATTAAGAATTGTAATAGTCATCACATCACATCACGTGCTGATTAGAAGGGCAATGCAAAATTGCTATAACTAGTTAAGTAATGAGGAGTTGAGGACTACACTCAATCTCATGGAGATGCTTTGTTGCAACTACAATTGTTTATTGTAGTATTTTGAACCCAAAATTTGTTCATGATGCAAGCACGTGAACACTTACAAGATGAGAAAATGTAACATATATCACCTCGAGTAAATTAGTTGCAACATTTGACATAGCTCTTAGGAATCTTGTATATATCAGCAATGTTCACTTTGTTAGAAGGAAGTCAAATTTTGTGTCAATCTTGTTGCAGTCCTAAAAAATATTGGAAAGCAAGTCACAATCAAATCAATTAACATAGTAAGGAGATGACTACTAAGCAAGCCATATTGCAGTCTAAGGAAGTCATAAGTAAACTCTCATGGCCGGTTGGTTGAAAGCTTAGGAGTAAAGTTATCTAGTTTTTGTCTTTGTCATTTATAACCTTAGTTATGTAGACTGCCTTAGTTGAAAGGTCTGGAGCGCGATGGTGAGATGAACTATAGAGTTACATTCTACATGATCATAAACTTGTTATCTCTATGTACGCGTGTTCCATGGTGCGGTGAACCATTAAATTTGGTTATGCATCATCATCATAAACTGCTCTAAAGAATTTTATATTAAGCATTTTTAATGTCCAACAAAACCTTCTAAAGCCTAGCCTCTGCACCAAAGGTGCATTATTCCATGAGGATTTGTTAGTTGATTTCTTGCAATCTTCTAATGGGAATGGGAGTATGTCACTAACAACCCTGGAGCATTTTTTTTTGGCTAAACTGCTACCATCTCTAGTTAAGGCCACTATACACCTTGTTTTCTTCATCTTAAATACTTCTGGTCAAATTTAAAAGATAACAAACAATAGTTTAGAAAAGAAATGAGAGGGACAAGCAAACAAGAGTAACAACCATCCAAATGACCTTTGGCAGGTTACTTAATAATGTCAACTATATGCACCCAAAAATATCAATGAATAAAAAATTCAACAATAAAAATGAATAATTGACAACAGAATACAGTAGCCTATGTTAAAATTTACAAATCATCTCTAGGTACATAACAAGGTATCAAATAAGGCTTCAGAACAATGAAACCAAAGTGATGTGACAAGGTGTACCATTATGTATTTACATAAATCAATAAATAGTTTATTGCACATGAACTTAACCCCATATTACAACAAGGACAAAACAGAAAAGAGAAAACAAAACGGTCCTTCTTTTGGAACCGTGAAAAAAAAATGCTTAAACATGGGTTCATATTCTTGAACAAACCTTTTACATATCAGAAGGAAGAGGAGGGAAAATGCGCGACACAAGAGATATTACATATTCTTGAACATATTTCTTAGAATTGTTTGGGTCAGGAATCCAATGAATCTCACTCATATTTGGTGTCTCAACATAGGCCATAGTAAACTCCCCCACCTTCACTAGCTTCCCTCTCTTCCCTGCCCGCAGTACAAGGTTCTTGTGCTGGTATGAAAATATGCCATTGGTAAGACAAATTATGTCACCTGAATCAAATGCATCACACTCATCTCCCCAAAACTGAAAATGAACTGCTGCAGTTTTATCAGCCACAAGGGCCAAGCACATCTTGTTATGCCCTTCTACTATGGTTTTCCCTTTGTCCAAAAGGATGAATTTAGTGTCTATGTTGTTCTGAGCTGCAGGCACAATGTTTTTGAGAAGAATCATGCTGTCACTCATTCCTTCAATAACCTGTAATGCATTTCATTAGATAAGTAAGCACAGAATCATGTGACATGAAAATAGCTTTTACAACTTTTCCTTTTACCATACTTTTGGAATTAAGAAGCTTCTTAGAACCAAAATAAAAATGTAACAGATACATATTTGTATCTGTATAACATGAAATAAGATAGGATATAAAGTTAATTATCGACTACCATGCCACATAAGTTACAATGATCTAACAATTAAAAGAAAAATAATATCAACATGGTATCCTAGGCAAACCAATTTAAATTTAGTTGGAGCTTAAAAAAATGAGACACCTACAATTTTTTTCCCTAGGTTCCATATACATCAATTTAGGCATCTTGGGACAGTCATGCAAACAACATAAGCATTTTCCCACTAGGCTGGTTAACAACATAAATCAAATGTTGTCATTATGTTGCCAAACCCAAATCTCTAGAGTTGGTCAGATGAGAGAAATCCCAGTAAATAGAGGTAGAGAAAAACTATATTGAAACTATTAATGATTTGTGTAAATGGATTTTGAAGAATTGGTTTTCATTATTCTGCAGAAGACAAAGGCATCATTGACCTATTTAGTTGATCCCAAATAATAGCGAAAATATATATTTATGTTGGTTGCTGTTAAGGTCCTCAAAATCATGATTCGCAAGGATGCTTACGATCTTGATCATACAAAAAAAATGAGAACTGGTGGAATCCTTTTGAGATCACCAGGGAAGATTATGAAATCAGGGGAATCAAGTCAGTCAACAATCTGCCTGAGCCGAAGGACCTGTGATACTGACAAGTTGACAAAACTAGTGTGCAACCTACAATTGAAGCTCCAGCAAAAACTTGATTGTCGTCAACCTCCTTCCATTACTTGGCTTGACCTCTCTAATTCCCTCATTGATCTCTATTTCTCCTTCCATTGATCTGTGCTCATTGATCTTTATTTCCCTTTTCACTGATCAATGCCAATCAACAATCTCTCCCATTTGTTTTAACGTGTTTTGATTAGCTTAATTTCAAGAAATATTCTCTTATTTTTGTCAACTTCCTGAGAGCTTTGGAAAAATAAGTGATTTTTTATCCTAAGAAAAGCTTTACCAAACATGCTCAGTTCCGTGTCATGTTTAGCTTTGACCTATGCTGGGTGAGTGGTCACAATTCCTGTTCCCCCCTCACCCTACCCAAAAGAAAAAATAACAAAAATACAAAGACAAACTTTATCCTGCATATCATTATCTTAACCATCCATTTGAATTATATGGTTAACATTTGCTCCTCTCACACTCTCATCTTCCACCTTTTAAATCTGCTAGAACTGGTTCAAGCATGTAAAATTTTAGATGGATTCAATTCAATAATAAGTGATCATTAGAATATAGTTATAATTATAACATCTAACAAAATACATCTAATTTTGAAATTTATACTACTGATAATCTGTAGTTTGTGCATGTACTTGATACAAAATAGACATCACTTATTCGAAAAAAGATAACAACTGGCATGATTTAATGGTTACTGAAGCAATTGTTGATTACCTTATAATCAGGATACCCTGATCCAATTTTCTTGCCCTCTCCCTCAAGGCATTTTGACCATGAAACTTGCTCAGTGAACCCTAAAAATGAAGAAAAAAAGTGACTCTACTAATACTAAACAATTGTCTGCCAGAGCGGACAACTATTACTATCCTCCAGAATGGGAACCGAGTCAGGTATATCAGAAAATTAACAAACAGACCAATACATCACAAGCACAGAATATCTCTTAGCCAATACACAGAATTAAAACTGAAAATCATTAAACCACTACCAATCAATTGCCTAACAAGAACAGAACGCCATAGTTTTTTCTCAAGGAAAACAGTTCTATCAAAATTTAATACATAGCATAATAGTACATATACATAATATGCACAAACATGATCTACCAAACCTTCGTACATAGCTTATCACAATGAATATGTCTATTATTTTCCCAATTTACAAAATTCCACCATGAAAATGAAGAGTTTTCTATATACGGTTTGAAGATCTCAACCCAACAAAACAAGAACACGCGATATCCACGACTACATAACATCATCGAACAATTCAAATCTACAATAACAAAAATGAAATAACACTAATAAAAAAAAAAAAGAAGATAGAATTGAATCCGAAATTTAAGAAGCATGGAATTGAAAAAAACCCTAATCGTGAACGCGCAATCATCAAACGTGAAAAACAAAAGTAAAAAAATTCGCACCATTGTTGTTTATCTCCTTGAAAGACTGAGAAGCTTTTTCCACAGAATCAGATATTCTTCAGTGGTTCAGAAATGTTCGATCGTATTGAAATTTATGGCTCAAAGGTTTTTCTGGTTATAAAAGTAGTTTTGCTTAGCTCGTTTTGAGAGCTAAAGATTGTCCAGAGGATAAAAAGAATAGGGTTGCATAGAGATGAAAAGAAAAGTAAGAGATGGAGAGAAATGAATAGAAATTATAATAAGAATTGAAATAGCAATTCGACCTTTTATAAATTTTGAATGAAAAGAGACTAATGTAAAAAAAATACTTTGTACCTTCATGTATTTTCAAATGTAAATTAAAAAATTGAATCATTAACTATCTAAAAAATAAAATTAAAGTAATTTGTTAAAAATATGAACAATTTTTAAGTAGTTGTAATTGTGGTTGTAGGAATAGTTTTGAGTGATTTTGAAAAGTAAAAAAAATAAAAAATAAAAAAATAGTGGAAAAAGAAAAAGCAGTTTAAGAGATAGTTACAAGATAGTGAAATAGGGTGTGGATTGGTAATTTTATTATTGATAAGTGGAATCAATGTAATTTGTACTTCTATATTTTATTTAATAAATATTTTTATGATTATCCGTCAATTTGAATTAATAAAACGAAGTATTAAATAGTTTTCAATTTTTTTAAAATTTTGTATATTTAATTTATGCATTAAAAACTTATAATTTAATGATTGGATCATTGAAATTCAACATATATACACTATGAGTTATTGAGTAAAGTAATTTTACTAATTAGAGTCTTGATCCCTCCTCATAATATATAATATATATATATATATATACAATAAAAATTTATTTATTTAAAAATATTAATATTTAATTTACAAATAATAAAATTAAATAATAATAGTAATCTATACTAATATATAAAGAAATATCTTTTTTTAGTAATCATCTTTAGTCTTCACATTTAATAGAGCATATAACCTTCTATTATGAAAAAAAATAAAAAATAAAAGTATTTTTTAATAACTACCACAGGAAATGATCATTAAACAGTTCAATAGGGAGGTCGGATATCCAAATCCATGCAGCAATCTTGCGCATTTATGAAGCAGTAAACGAAAAGAAATGATGGCATCCTTGCTAGCATTAATGGATAGGTTGATCAATGTGAGGACACCATCAAGAAAGGGTGCCATTGTTGAACCACTATATAGTGATCTGCAATCATCCAAGGTCCCTCAAACAAGATATGTTTATAATCTTCTTCAACGGTAAATTGAACAAGAAAATATTCTTGTGATAGATCCACTAAACGGATTGCTCCTGCCTTTGCCCATTCCCGTTGCGCCTTATTGTCCAGCATTTGATACGAAACTCGTTTACCAAGAACATTGAGAATTAAAGAATTACGTTAGGGGGAACACCATGTCTCAAACTCCTCTCGAGTCACTGTGATAGTAGGACAAGGATCCAAATCCTCATTAGAGGTTTCAAAGTTGTCATTATCCTTATAGAACACATCTTTCGGAATCTCCATCTCCTTTAGGAGATTATTAAAGTCAGAGAAGACTTTTCCACCAGCAGGATTTAGTAGACTATCCCAATACGATTTTAATGGAGTTTTCTCGACCACAAAAATAGGGCCAACTTCATCCATGCAAGCATCATTGACAACAGAATCTTCTATTCCAACAAAATTCTTCGTTTTGACCTTTTTCGTGCTTTGTACAAGGGATCATCACTTGAAGGGCTCCCTCTAAAACCCTCGTAGAGCCTCCAACCATCACCAACAAAATTCTTCTATTTTGTGTTCTTTTAATAATTATTCACTTCACTATTTTTATTACTTAATTACATTTACTACTTAATAATCTCAATTTTTTATTTTATTTTAAATTTTTTAAATAAAATACAGAAGTACAAAGTGTCTCAACATCACTCATTATATATAAAAAGGATATCTCGCTTTGAGTTTTAGACATTTATATACTTTTATTGTAGTTCCATCATCATAAAGTAAAATAAAAAGAAAAAATATGTATAAAAAATAATTATTTTACCTCATGTTATATCACTCAATTTATATTCTATAAAATTCTATTATTTTATGTTTACTAATAGAAAAAGATACTTATGTCTTTATTTATAATAATGTTATATAGATTTTAATAAAAAAATGAGATTAATATATTGTTATAAACTCTGTAGTTAACGTTGTGAAAGAAATATCTGAGAAAACAAAATCGTAATCCATGGGCACGCTTCACATTGGAAGCCTCGTTTCTCAATCTCCGCAACCGCGTCTGGTCGTGGCAGCTTCCTCCGCTTCCTCATCAACCAAGTTGCTCACTTTTCTCGGCAAAGGTGGCTCCGGCAAAACCACCGCCGCTATTCTCGCCGCTCAGGTCCCTTTTTCATCTTTACCCCTCGCATTTCCAACTTTTTTCTTAACCTCAATGTACTCGGAAAAAAAAATATATGTATACATTGTGAATGAGTAAAGTGTTTATTACCAATCAAGAGAGGAAGAATTGGTTTTCTATGGTTTATCTAAAGATTAGTATCTTTGAGATTGAAGAATGCAATTGGATTGATTCTTATGTGAAAGTGCTTTTGTACATTTACTTATGCCACTTTTCTGAGCCTGAAACTTGAAAAGGAACAAAAAAAGGTCACTAGTGTAGTGAAGTTCTTTTTGGAATCGACAACAACGGAACCTTTCTATGTAGCTTTTTCATCTCTTGCTCACATGTTCCTATTTCAGCCACACAACTTAGGATCTGTTTAGTTTGGGTGTTTCATGTTGAAAGTAGGAAACAAAGTGAAAATTGTGACATTATTGTAATTATTTGTTAAACTGGGAACAAAAACGTAAAATGTTTTCTCAAACTAAGCAGATCCTTAATTCTTTTCTATTGTATTGAAGAGAACTTTCATTTTGCTGCAAATATTTACTTGATATAAGTCATAATCATCTGAGTTCAACAGTGGAAAAGTATTTAATCTCCCTCTTTTTATTTTTATTTCATGTGCCTTTTATTTCAGCACTATGCGATGGCTGGATTGAATACATGTTTAGTGATACACAGCCAAGACACCACTGCTGACTATCTCCTCAGCTGTAAGATTGGAACTTCCCATGTCGTGTGCGGCAAGAACCTTTCTGCTGTTAGGTTGGAAACAACTAAAGTGAGTGTGATGCTTTCTCCTTTTCCTTCCCCTATATAAATTTGTGTGTACTCTTGGTTGGTGTCTAAGGAATATGTATATTGCTCTATAAGTGCAGATGCTTCTTGAACCTCTAAAACTTCTGAAGCAAGCAGATGCCCAACTTAATATGACTCAAGGCACACTTGGAGGGGTGGGTACGTAATATGTTTTCAGTATCTTATTTTAACTGTATTTATGGTGGACATGTATTCCCTTGATCTAGTTTTTATAGTGGGGCTCTGTCCTCTTTTCTTTGTCATATAATAGATTGTTGGAGAAGAGCTTGGCATTCTACCTGGGATGGACCCTATTTTTTTGGTACTTGCACTTGAGAGGCTTGTAGGATTTCTGGGGATTGCAGCTTCAAAGAGTCAGCAAAATAAATTTGACCTAATAATTTATGATGGTATCAGCAGTGAGGAAACCCTGCGAATCATTGGTGGAAGCAGTAAAGCGAGGTTGGTTATGGAATTTTCACTCTCTTACACTCATATGCACACCCTTACCATTATCTTTGGCTTGATATTGTGATTTTGTAGATTGTACTTGAAACATCTCCGCACCTTGGCTGAGAAAACTGAACTTGGGAGATTGGCTGCTCCTTCACTGCTGAGACTTGTGGATGAAGCCATGAAAATCAGTAGCAGCAGATCTTATTTCAATGGGAAAATGAGCTCAGAAATATGGGACAGTTTGGATCATATGCTGGAGGTAAGAGTAACTTTCTTTGTTGATTGTGTGTTAACCATTTTAACATAATCATATTCATACCTTAACACAAGACTATAATTTTCTTTGTTGATTGTGTGTTGACCAGAGAGGATCTTCTGCCTTCTCAAACCCACAGAAATTTGGTTGCCTCCTTGTGATGGATCCAAACAATCCAACCTCAGTCAATTCTGCATTACGATATTGGGGGTGTACAATTCAGGCCAGTGCTCAGATTTCTGGTGCTTTTGGAATCACCTCTCTACAAGAAAATTTAGAATCATTGGAAAGAGCAAAGAAAGAATTTTTTCCTTTGCCTTCTGCTTTCATATCAAGTTTGTCAATGAATGGCCCGGTAGATTGGAGCAGAGTTCTACTGGACACAGTCAATGAAGATGCTAGGCATCTTCTTAATTCACTGTCAGGACAATGCAATGAAATACCATTGCCAGTTAGATTTGATAATATAAAAAAATTGGTTACTCTCTTCATGCCAGGTTTTGACAAATCAGAGATCAAGCTATACCAAGTATGATATGCTTCTGTTCATATATTTTATATGAGATTTTTTTAACTGATATTGATGATGCTCATTTTGAAATATTTAACAGAAATGAGATGAATATTATACTCTTGGGCATAGAAGTTAAAAATTGAAATATATTTTTGGTCTCTATAATATATATTTTTTATATTAGTCCTTATTATTTTACTTTAGTCCTTATAATATTTAATTTTCATTTTAATCCTTATACTATTTTGTTCATTTTGGTTGAACTGGATAGCTTGAATTCTATGGTTGTATTGGATGTTTATGTTTGACACTTGTCATATTGTATTATGGTGCTTCTCTTTCTATCACAGATTATGCTCGCTACATGGTGCAAGTTTGTGCATTTTTTATGTGGATATCTCATAATTGAGACGCTGATTGCTTTTTCTGTATATGTTTCTCTTAAAAATATACCAAATGCAGTACAGAGGAGGATCTGAGCTTTTGGTTGAGGCAGGAGACCAAAGACGTGTCATTACTTTGCCTCCAGAAATTCAAGGAAAGGTTGGCGGAGCCAAATTTGAGGACCGAAATCTTGTTATTACGTTGCTATGACCCTATTATTATTATTTTACCTTCTATGCTTGCTGATAACTATTGATGTTTCAGCAGAGGTCATTCTTCTTACACCTCATTTTTTGCATGACTTGCTTTCATAAATGATTATGGAAAGGAACAAGAATAGCATATTACTGCTAGATATACAGCAGCATCATATATATTTGGAGAATGCCTGTTCTGGTTTATGCTGGTGTAGTAAATGTCTCTTGTTCTTTCTCTCCTTTGAAATTTACACATGAAATTATTGGCCTCCAGCTGTCCGATCAAAATAATCTCAGAATTCGTTGGCTTTCCATTAGACCTAAGCATTTGATGAGAGTATTGAATATTGTTCAGTTGAATCTTATAATAGGGATAAACATGAAAATAGGCAGAGGTAGGATTATGTTGGAGTTCAAAGTAACAATTACAATATGATTCTCTTATCATCATTGTATAACATCCAATATGTATAGGCTATGCAAAATAAAGCAAGATGGAATTTACAGCTGAAAAGGCAAAATATATTTATATGAGACGCAGCTGAAAAGGTAACATATATTTATATGAGACGCAGCTACAAAAGAAGGGTAAAAATTCTGATGGATATCCTATATTTCTGATTTGATATCTTCACTAGCTTGGGAGGATTGGATGCGGCTCCTTAGGTCTTCAAAAGCCTTCATGCTCTCTGCATCAAAGCCTCCTGCAAACTGAAGAGTTCAACACCATCATTAGTATGTATTATTCTGTGTTTAACAAATTTTCACATTACACTTTCTGACAAGAAATGCTAAAGCATTCTTTTTCAACACTCTTATTAGGTGAAATTTATGTGAATCCCATTAAATACTGATTTCCCGTTTGATGGGTCTCGTAGCTAAACTAGTGAGGCCAATATTCATTTCAATTAATAGGAGTAATATGTTCTTAATACCCTTCTATCGGCAAACAACTATATTTAAAAAACTAGAAAAGTACGAATTAATATATGAAAATCTTATTTATATTGCTTTGGTATGCCAAAATTTCTGTTTATAAGTGAATTCCTGAAGTTATTCGTGTTAATAAATTCATCTCTTTGGAAACTAATTTGTATAAATCACAAAATTTGGAGATCAACGCAATACAAGTCACATTTTAATAACATCTTGTAATGGCCTATAAAGTGTAATGTGTTTTCAACCATAAACAATGAGTTGGAAACTTTCGCAGTAATTATTTTTCTACTTCAGCTAGCTAAGTATACCTAAGCAAAATCAGTGCTAATGAGTTATGACCTCAAAGGTACTCGGAAGAATGATACATGTTTTCAGCTCAAGCAGATGAAAAAAGTGACCTAGAATTACCTGATGGACACGGAAAGCGAAACGCACTCCTTGCAGAATCAAAAACTCTCTGGCTGGTTCTTTTTCAGGGCCAGATAATGCATCAAGCTCAAATGCAACACGTTTCATATACTTCTTTGCTAGTTGTACAGAAGAAAGCTTGATCTGCAATGTGAGGGTTATAACACAAAGTGACCATATTATCTACATCATCAACGTTATAATAACAGATACTCCAAGGCATACAGTAGTGACTATAAATTGTAAATCTATTCATGGCATTATCCGCCATGATACAATCTTACCCTGATGAACCCATTATGCACTATTTGTCGCATTTTTTTTTTTCTTTTCTTCAAATAGGTATAGCATACTGGTAATATTTCCATGATATTTAAAATTGTACGCTTAACAGATAAAGAAAGAGTCCAACCTCTTGTGTGAACACAATATAAACCAATCGTATTAGTATAGAAGCATACCTTGCCAACAACTCCTGAATCCAATAGCCAATTTACTGGGATTCCAAATTTCCTGTAACGTGAAATAGCCATATCTCTTGTCCTCAAGAGTGCATATACGCTTTGCTCCACTCTGGAAACAAAAATATAACACAAATGAAGATATGAGTTGATAAAAGAAGTCACAGGTGTGTAGTTCTAGAGAACTGTAAGAAACATGACATACAAAACGTGTATATGTAACGTTAAACATTTTTGTGACTTGAAATTACGAATCAAGTATACATGAGAAAATGATTTAAACAGCTTTATCTGTAAGGATTATGTTATTAAGCACTCAAGTAGGTATCTACCAATGGTATTCAAGATAAATAAATCTATAGAAGGAAAGGATGCATACTTTTCAAGCAGTGAATACATTTTCTTCAGAGCAGCTTCACATGGGAGTTGGGGATCATCTATGAAGGTGGAGACTTTGTTCTCCAATTTCATCAAATCCTGATATTCAAAAGCTGCCTCCCTTAGTGCATCTGCTTTCCATTCAGGCCAATCAAAGTGCTTGAGGACAGCTCGTTCATCAACCTTGCATAAGGAATAAAATGAGGTGAATAAGTATGCAGAAGCCACTGAACATAAAGTTACAAAATGTGGAAAATAGATTTATTTTTTCTGTTTTTGATGTGGGAAAACGTGATTACAAGTGAACCATTAAGTCATAAAAAATTTGAATCATTTCCTAAGCAGAGGAAAATGAAGAGGTTTCCTAGGAAGGAATGTTTTAAATTTTAAGGAGAGCACTAAAGAGTTGACTTCTGTGGTTTATCATAAAATTTCACTGATGAATATGCAACGACAGCTAAAGGCATACCAGGAAGGAAAGCTCTTCATCTAGCCAGTTGACAAAGGCCACCAGATCATTAATATCCGAGAAGGAGGCTGCTCCAACTTCAGTTGCCAATGAATTGACAAAATCACCTTGTGTTTCTGTTAGAAAATAAATTTAATAGAGCACAAAAAAAAAATATTTAGATTTATCAATGAAACCAATGTCAACAACACAATAAATACTATAAAATTAAAAACAAAATAATAAGTAACAACTAATTAAACACAAAGAGTAAATTAAAATATTAAATAATAAGTTTAGAGTAGTTTGGGTTGAAGCACGTAGAGCGCTATCCTTACACTACTAGAAAAGTTTCATTTTCCTGCAACAAAAATATTTGCAAAATTTTTTTGTGAATTTTCCTGCAAAAAAAATATTTGCTGAAATTTTTTGCGAATTTATTTCCGAAAAATAATTTACAGATATTTCTTACAAATTTTGCTACAATTTTAATAATCATAGAAATTTTTCCATGGTAAAAATTTGCAGAAAATATTGTAAGAATTTTATTTTGTTTCTTGCAAAAATAAATTTGCAAGTAATTACTAAATGGTAGAAAAATTTTGTAGGTAACTACTAAATGGTAGAAAAATTTTGTAGGTAACTTTTCATGTAGATTTTTTTTTGAAAAAATATTTAAATTTATAAGTTTAAATTTTAAAAAAAATTTCAAGTCCCATATCGATTGAAAATAAAACAATTAAAGAGTATATAAGTTGGGACAACATTTATCATACAAGTTGATTTGTATGGTTGAGTGTTAGACTTATAATCTACAATCTTAGAATTTAAAAGATTATGTATCACATGTTGGTTTCATGGAAACAAATGCTTCGGATGAATTTATTGTGAGCATTTGAAAGTTGAAGAATTATTGATAGAATTTATAGTAATTTCTTTAATTTTTTTGTAAAAAAAATTTCTGCAGAATTTCTTGCGAAAAAATTAGTAGGAAACTTTCTTGTGAATTTTCCTGCGAATTTTTTTTTGCATGAAACTTTACTGCAAATTTTTTTTGCAGGAAACTTTCTTGCGAATTTTTTTCGCAAGAAATTTCGCAGAAAAATTTCTTACAAATTTTAAAATTTGAAAAAATATATTATCTACGAAGGTATTACCTGCAGATAATATTTCGCAGAAAAAATTGTAGGAACAACACGAATTTTTCATAAAAATTCGCAGGAAAAGTCGCATGAAATAAGATAAATTCTAGTAGTGTTAAAGAGAAAACACCCCCACTACACTGGTAATTTTGAATCTTATAATGCGCTCCTCTCCTAAGATATGTCAACCCATTAGACCGTTCGAGTGCAGTGAAAGATCCCCGAACCAAAAAACATCACTCCAAAAAATATATTTTAGTAGTAAAAATAATTTTGAAGAAGAAATAGACGAACTTGTGTGTATTTTTTTATATCTTTTTCTCACGTACTAATGTGTATATATAGGCACAATATTAAATACTTTTTCTCAAATCAAGAGTACGCGCATGCATCAGTTTTAACTTTTGTTTATTTTGCAAACTTTCCGGTGGTAACAGTAAAATAGTGAATGCACGTTGTGCTAACCACTTTGAAAAAATGCAAGACTTGTTGAAGAAACTAAAAGTGATGAAGTATCCTTCTTTGCCTCATTTTCATCAATGTTTGATAAAAATCAACTAGCTCAGGAGCTCGGTGAACTTTGTCACTGTTAGGTAAGAAAGCAGAAACATGTTAATAAAACCAG